TTTAAAGACTATTCAGGTTTTTTAAAGATAAGCTCCGAAATCAAAAGAAAATGGTAAAATTAATGATAGATTAATCGAGCTGAAAATGTGCTTTTGGTGTTTTCTTCCAGAGGGATATGTCTATTTAAGTAATGATAATTGTTCACATCGCTCGCTATAAATGAATAGTTGTTATAACTGTAAACGTGAAAGTATATATGGGAGTGATTATTTCACTAGTCTTTTCTTTATATTCTACTCCCAGCTGTGTTGAATCTTCAAGATCACAATATAATGTGAATTCTTGAAGACGACCAACTAAAAAAGATGCCAATTATCAAACTGGTTTCTGATTTTTTCACAAACCATATATCCAGTTTAGCAGTAACGGTTATTATATAACGTGACTATGCTGTATTACCTACATGTAACTTTCAAATTATTGATTTCTTTCGAACAAGTTATGGTATAATGTGTAATACATACAAATCAAACTGTACATCCCTTTAACATATTGTTCAAGTGCTTGTCTATGAGGATTTAGCACGGTTATGAGTACCGGCAACAAAAAAAAAAAAAAAAACTTTTATCAGCAGTCGTATATTGGTAATCATTTCTTTACTTTTGATGAAAAGGATGGGCGTAAATATAAATCCAGTTGGATGCAGATTTGGATAGCTCATCGATTATTTAGATTAATGAATTGGGAATTACTACAGTGATGCATGCTCTGTACCGGTGTCTGTCTTAGCTCAGGGCTCTCTCCATCTCCCGAGAGCGAACGAGAGGATGAACGCAATCTCCGCCGAGCCTCCGGGCCTCATCATCTCTTCGTTCGCACTCCCGAGATGGGCGTGCAGGCGATAAATTATGTATCGCTTCATAAACATACGGAATACCGAAGCGACGAATCGGGCTTTGCCAGGATGATCATCTTCAATTCAATCTAGGTCTTTTTCGAGGAGGGGGGGGGGGGGTAGATAACATAATACCATTAATACTGCAGAGTAGAGAAATTGCTCAGAGACGCATAGCCATATTAAAAATGAATCCAAATTCCCTGCTAAATAATGTTTGTTTATTTATTTATTAATCTTTGCTTCATTCAATGCTAATTTATCCTCTCCCCCTCCCCTCCCAGTATGATTAGAATTCTCCTATGAATTGATGATGTGAAATATCGAATGATAAATAAGTTCTGCAATAGAAATAGGTAATAGAAGAGGTACATTTACCATCATTCTTCATTACAGAACTTACCATTGCCGTTTTATGACTGCCCTCTATACATGGAATTTGTCAATCGAAATAGTACAGGTGAACTAACGAAAATAAAATGCAAACAATATATTCATTATTACTACTCCACTGTCGTAGACAAGCATATATAACTCTCCCGATTCCTCTTCATATGTATTTATGAGCATCAGCAGCTCCCCTCCAAAAAAAAAAAAAAACACGGTTTATATTGGATATTCCGCCAGACCAGCAATAAAAAAAAAAACAGTCTGCTTGGATTTTCTGCATAGGGGAGTTGTACAGATAGTCGCGTGGAGAGGGAACGCTGAAAATTACCGGCTTGATTTGTGCGAGGCGATGGGGTCCCATTCGTATGGTGGCCGTAATGAGTCCAATAATCATTTTCATATTGAGCAGAATTTAATTTGCAGAAAGCTTATGAAATCACACACGATCATCAGCCTTGATGCCGAGGTGATCATGGGCTGAATTGCTAGTAATGAATCGCGGAATTGATCTGATTGATGAATATTTGATGGCAGATTAGGTCACTAGATTCATGATGTCTGTATTTATTGCTATATTGCTTTACTGCAACATAATGTTTCGAAATTGGGATAGGTTATGAGAATCATTTTTGCTGCAAGTTAATGTCATCAGACTTTTTTTTTTTTTCTTTGCATTTTTGACAGGGAATAATGTTTTTTTGACAAAATAATGTCCTGATTCATAAGTTGATGTGTAAAGCTTGACGTGTAATAACCATTGTACGGATTATACGATGCCCCATATTCATTTGTTTATTCATTTATTATTCATTAATTATATTTACTTTATATAGGAAGCATCATTGATAATTTTGTGAAATATAATATTGTCCTTAATATCAAAATATTCCTGGGAGAGAAAGAGAAATGGCATAGTTGGGAGACAGAGTGGATGTGTGTGTGTGTGTGTATGTGTGACAGAGAGAGAGAGAGAGATCGAGAGATAGATAGATAGAGAGGGGGGCTTAGAAAATGAAAGTATTAAAGATAATGGGAGCATGAAATAAGAGGAAAAGACCACGTCAGATATAGCGACGCAAATTATATTGTGATCGTCGATTTTACAGACAGATATTATCAAGAATGGGACCTACAAAATAGTGTAGATACTTCCTGTAATAGATTTGTTCTCCCAAACCTCACACGTATATCCCCTCTGCGTACATCATCTTCGTAAATAAATTGGAAATAGATTAGAAAGCAAAACAAGGCAAACATCCTTCATTTATTATTCAACTAGGATGAGATACACAGATGTGTAGACTACTTAGTTCGTGTAGTGTATTCCACCGTCCCCTTACCTAAATGTGGAAAGCAGAGATTTGTGTATTATTTCATGTTATGATTGGGCCATAGTCTTTCTAGAACCTGGTTAAAGACGTAGCTGCAGTAAATTTTTGGTAATTTTGTTTCTTATACAGTCAAACCGTCTCCATTTGTCGTCAGGCAAAGTAATGTTGATATAGAAGCTCATTTCTTAATTCTTGAATATTTCTCATGGTGTTGAATACTCTTCCAGACTATCGACTTAATCAAATGTCAGTTCAGGTGATTATAAATTTCTTGTACCATGAACCCCCCAAAAATGAATATTTTAGGAAATGCATGTACATGTATTTACCTAAACCCTAACGGTTGGTTCTGTTTTGAAAGGAAATGATATCTGATGTCTGCAGATAAAATGCGAATACTGAAGGCATTGTACTAAATAATATTAAAAACTCCTTTTGCGGTTAAGTTTAAATGTTAAACAGTTGATGAGTCATTCAATAACCAATAAGTCAACTATATCAATCAATCTATCAATCAATCAATCAGTTAATGTATCAATCAATCTATCAATCAAACTGTCTATCAATCAATCAATCGATCAATTATCACTCAATCAATTAAAGAACCAAACAGTCCGTCAAACAAATGGTACATCAAATATTCTGTAAGAGTCAATATCAGTCAATCATTTCTACCGGTACTCAATCTCTCACCTTCCCGTTCTCTCCGAAGCGTCACACGTAAATTTTAGTGTATGTTGTACTTGTGGTTTGTATTTTCCCCCAAAGATTAAGTCATTTTAAAACGTTGCGGATTTTTTTTCGGCACAAAAGATAACATTCCAGTACACAACTTCTGAAATAGTTATGCGTATGAAAATATTCTGGAGATAAACGATATGATATTATTTTTTATCAAGGAGCTAGTGGTTTAAATGTATAGGGAGGTAACCGCAGTTGCCCTTCTAACCGAATCTGAATAAGCATGATAATACTTTGACAGAATTGACACTTTTCAGTGACGTTAATATCAAGTTATGCAAGGACGGTTGACATTGACAGAGACGTGATCTCATTAAATATTTACACCATAATCCAACCGAAATCCCCGGATTTTCTGTCTTTCCTGTATTGCAGGCAAATAAATTGCTTTTTACTAAACTTTATATTGGTTAACACCGTCAAGGGAAGAGGAGTATGAAAATGAAAATAAATGAAATTCGGGTGGCAGAGATAATTTGTAGGGCAAAATGAGAGATTAAAGATGTTGGTGGAAGGCTGGAAGCTTGTATTGGTTGGGAATCGAAATGTACTGTATATACTTTAGTAGAATCACAAATGTAAAACTCATGAATATTATTGATGTGAAGTTATAAACAGAATGTATAATTTCGCTTTTATTCTAAACATTTGTTATGCTGATACAAGATCAAAGATTATAATGTAAGTTATAATTTTTTTGAGTTTGACATTAACTATTCATGGAACTAGCAGAGCAATTTGAACCGAAAAATCATAGAAAAAAGGTAATCGCCTTATTATTCTGAAAGTATCTTTATTTGAAACGGGATTTGAAATGTTGGAAAAACAAGTCATCGGTTGTCTTATGGCACTAGTTCACTTTTGTATCCAACTATACCATTGCATTTTGAAGAGTAAACCAAGATTTGAAATTTATGTATGTTGAAAATCATTCCAAAATAATTTCATTCAAAATGGACATTAAATATTTGTTCTTTTCATGTTGATAATTTAAATTTCAAGGACATTTACTCCCATTCGAAGCCAAATCGATAACCAAATGTCAAGTAATAGTGCATGACAATACCCTTGAATTGACTATTGGCATTGATTAACTTGATGTTTAGACATCACTCAAAATCATTCTTCACACATTGTAAACCAAGTACAATCTTTTCACAAAAAGAGTCAGTACAGTCATTGTCAAAACATGGTTATTCTTAGAAATGTTTTGATGTCGTGTGCAACCAATTTCTTATTTAGGGTATTTTTGAGGTGTGTAGAACAAAATTCATTTCCTTAGCCAAGTTGGCCTAGGTGGATCATGCATAAGGTGAGACACAGTAAAATGTTGTAAGGAATAACAGCGGCAGTAACTCTACATACTGGGTTCGATTTCGGAATTGACGAGAAGGTTTTATAGTCGTATTGTATTATGTTTTCGAATTATTGATACATTTTTTTTAAATTCAGTTGTTGGTGGAATTATAATCTTATGAGTTTTCATAAATAAGTTGTTGATGAAGAAGAACCAGGGTTGATACTGACTTGTTCTCTTATCTTACACATCATTCTCGGCACCAATAATAGTAGTAAACAGCATATTCACACCACCATCTCACGCAAGCACACGCAAGCACACACAAAACCATATTGCAAACAAAAGTGGCTTAAAACTTTTGACAGATAATACCGATGATAGTAGAAGCTCAATAAACGTATGTGTGTTATATAGACCATGCCGCATTGGCATGTTATAATAGCTCTTCAAGAGACAACAACATCAAATAAAATCACAATATCTTGCACATAATATCATCATAGATTTCGAACAAAAACTTATCTGGCTTGAATTCAACTTTGTCCCATTATAATGTCATAGACCAAGGCCTAACGGAATAGCATGAACAGAGAATACTCGGAACCATACAACTACAGGAACAATGTAATTTGTTTTCAAACAAAGACAAATGACAGTGGGAAAGACTGAACGTTGTGTTTGCAAATACACATGAAATGACTCGGCGTGGACACGTATGTGAACTAAAAATTATCTTGATAGTAAATCTTTGCCTAAAAATATTTAGAATGCCTATCTTACTTCTTAGTTTAAAATCCTGGGAATTATTTTTGTGGCACTAAACAATGTTGAGAACTTCGGAAAAAGAATGTATTTATGACACATTTTCGTTATCTCTTTATATATTAAGAATATTCATCTCCTACTCTGAAGTCAGAATAAAGCAAAACGATTTAGAAATATTGATGGGAAACAGTATAGCCTACTAATATATTTGCGTAGACAAGGTGCACTACAAAACTAAAGAGAAAGAGCTTGTATCAATATACAGATCCCAATTAATTTTAACTTTTTTGGAATTAGTAACTGAAAGCTTGTATAACTCGATTAACATAAGAATCCTCAATATTGAAAGAAAATGTATTGGCTGTTCTGCACTGAAATGAAGAAGAACAAATCTATTGACATTTGTAATTGCCCGTCTCAACAATTATTAAGTACATGTATGTATTTGAGGGTTGCCTCAAACAAACAATTATCTTGAGTTTATCAGGCAGTCTACTTCAACATTAAACACCAAGTACCTCCGTTTTTTCAATTTACAGCGTTTTTAGAGCAGTTCTTTTCTTTCGTACACATTCATGCTTTCATATTTAATCATAATACAATAAATCATGGTTCATATTTTTTTATTAGCTGCGGTTACTCACAGAAATCGATAATCAAGCTTGGCTTAATACTTTAATCTCGCCACAAATCCAACTGCGTAAGTCATTCTTGTCCGAAACTAAATTGCTCCGTGGCAGCACGAGATAGCTAGGTAGGGTAAGAAAACATTTAACAGTGACACAACGCAGAAACCACGGGACCGCACCGGCGTCATCATCACCCAATTTACGCTTCCTAAACTGTACAGTTATGATTATTGTGCGGGCGCACATTTAGACAATCGTCGATCCATCGAGGTCTCTCTTCAATATTTTCGCCTTGCTTTTCCAATAAACTTTGTGATCACAATTTAATTTCTTTGTTCCGCGACGCTGAAATTGGAATACTGATATCTTTTTTTTAATTATAGTATTTTAACCGGCGACTTTTACATCATAGTTATAAGTTCTCTGTATATATATAGTTATTATTGTCATAGTTTTTCTAAGCTTTTGGGATTAGTGAGAATCTCCCGGGTTATTCTCCAGGCTTGCTTGGCGGCCTGGTCGAGAGCAGCATGTGGTTTCCCGTGAAACAAGTCGAGTCCGTGCAAGAAGTAATGAGGGCATCTCCTGTTCTGAAGACACGATATCAGCTGCAGTAGAATCCCGTTGATACGGTCTCCAAGAACAGTCTCGTCCCAGTCTATCTCACGAGGATGTTTCTCGCATTCGTACAGGAGCAGCGACTTCAGGTGGTAGTTTCTGACGGGTTGACCAGCGAGATCGAGGTGTTTGTCTCGCAAAGTTTTGAGGATGCTGAGAGTCTTTCGACGGCATCCTCCCTGCAAGAGTTTGTTCTCTGCATCGGTAAAGGATAGCACCCATGCATCTCCCTCGGCTGATGTTTGTTTCCCAGCTTGGGCGGGGCTCTCTTTTGACAGCAGGTTGAAGCCCTCGGTCTTTACCTCAGCTACCAGTCCAGGGCTGGGCCAGGGGATGTGAGGTAAGGGCCAATGAGCTGCGCTACGGGGCCAGATACCGCTGCATTTGAACGCGGGGGTTATCAAGACGATAAATCGTTCACGGATTCGTAACTTGACTTCTGAAGTGTCCGGGATCATTTTCACGATATCCCTGTATTTACATTTGTCCACGGCCTGAGCTACAAGCGTTTGAAACCTCGATCGAATTTTCCTGGCAGAAAGATAGCCCGATGCAGTGATAAACTCGACCCAAAGTGACATGGATCTCTTTCGTCCATCGCTCAGCTTCAACACGGCACATCCAGGGACGGAACCGTCATCGACAAAGTTGAATACCCCCATTTGGTTGAGGAATAAAACCACCTCGAACTCGTTCGGCGAGATGACTTCCAGTCCGTCAAATCGTCCTGTTTCATTTTCGACCAGCGAGCTAATAAATCTTGGCTCCTGGACCTCAACCTCCTTCAGAACATCGGTGACAATTTTACAGACTTCTCTCACCGTTTTGTTGCTGTTCGCTCGTCGGATTGCCACCCTTTCTCCCATATACCGGTTGAGCTGGTAGAGCAGTTTAGACTGGGCCGAAATCATGGCTGCAGCGTGTCCAAGAGAGGCTCCGCCGGGTGTAGCACCGACGGCCGCCCCGCCCCAGTTCCCGTCTATGCTTGGCGGTGGTACTGCCGACAGATATCGTCGAGCAGTCGACTGCGTGAAATCAGGGAGTTCAGCACACGATGCATGCATGAAAGAGCCGTAGTTTACCAGTGGGGAAAGCAAGTCTAAATCCTTTTCAGATTGATAATAATAGTCCTCCACATATAACAACACGAATTTTCTTCAAATGGGTTACCACGGTAGAGTAGAAGTAGTAAGTATTGGTAGCAGGGAAAGTGTGTCCTGTCCGAGCATGACACTGTACTCGCAATGTTTGTTTGTAAAGGTTCGAGAGCTTTTTGATGAGTCGTGTTCACTGGCTGACATCTATGCTGAACCGCACGGGGAACTCACTTTCTGGTTTATACATCGGACCGCCGCACCGAGCCCGCATGTAACGAATGCCCTCATTAGTGGTAGCCAAGCCAATGCGTATTGTAGCACTTAACATGACGATAGCCAATGGAATGCGTCGATACTTCGCAAGCCGTCATTTCTCATCTACCTCAGTTTAGCTTTAGCCACGCCCTCATTTAGGATTGATATCACACAGAAACCCCCCAGTTTGACGGTGAAAAGCCACACTCTGCAGTAAAAGACACACTTTTCGGAGAGTTTCTGTTTGTTGGAGGGGGCCTGCAATCTCCACAAAAATAAGGAGGAAAAAAAAACTTGGCCGACTCGCTCCAGGCTATGTCGCGCAATCAGCGGGATAGTGACATCAATCCCAAAATACATCAAATTATACCAAAACGTTCCCTTATTTCTCACTGAAATTCGCGTTCTGCTCTTTCCAACACCCAAACTCATTTCCACTACTTTCTTTTTGTAAACAGTTCCAAGTTTCATCGGGTCGAAGTTGAACATATTATCGTACATCATGAGGATAAACATGTTTATATGTTCAATCGATTTTTTTTCTTGTCGGTTTTGCAAGGGCAAATATATTGTAATTCCATAATATCTTGATACCAATGTAAACACAAAATAAGACAAATACTATATCAATCCCCCTTTCTCTACCTTGTTTGTTTTGCAAATATATATATTTTTTTTTTTTTTTTTTTTTACTTGAAAGTGATTATAAAAGTCACCAATATGTGGAAAATCAAAAATGACGCTGAATATTGAAAGAAGGATAATAATTTAAAAAAAACATTATAAAACAAAAATTTAGAAAAAGACACGTGTCGGATGCGAAAATGAAATTAAAATTACTAAGATAATAACTTGAATAATAATTTACGAATATTAAAAGTAGAAAACAAACAGTAGTGTTCCTTCGTATTGATATAATTTAATCATAGTAGAGTATCAAAATCTGAATTCAATGAAAAGGGACATAGTTTTACATTTACATTTATTGCCTAAAAATGGGTGAAGAGAAGGAAATTACATGGATGTTACTTTTAGTCTTTCCACTTTTACTTTCAAATGTAAAATGACTATGTAAATACTGTAATGAAAAATGTCCTTGAAAAAGTGGGTGAGAAGCGTTTGTACCAGTAAGGTGTTCCTTTTGGTCTTTCCACTCTTACTTTCAAATGTAAAATGACTATGTAATACTGTAAATAAAAAAAAATCCTCTGACAAAAATGGATGAGAAGCACTTGTACCAGTAAGAAGGTGAGATGTGTGTATTCCGATGGAGGTTAATGAGCCCACACGTTCCTGTCAAAAACCATTTACCCGTTTCGCTGGAGGTATCTGCGTTATAGCTGCGCGTGTACCCAATTTGACCCGAAAATTATGGTGATGATTGTGATATTTTTCCACAGAGCCGACTAGCCCTCTCTATCTGCATGAAAAATGGATGAAACATCACTTCTGGTTTCTCCTGTTTGATTTAAATCATTTTCTCATGGTGGATGTATGGCACCGTAAACTACCGTCATGTTTTGTCAATTATAGCAGGTATTAATTTTGATTACATGATGCGGTCAGCGACTTCGTAATAATGAGTTCTTCTTTTTCTACCTTAATATATATTCACTTTAAAATCATGTCGTCTTTCGTTCGGGATATTTACAATAATTGTCCATTCCTTTTTTGCGATTTTCGTTCTAGTTAGTTATTTCAAACCATAACCCACTCGTAAGTCAATCCTATCCAAGAAAATTTCGACGGGAGTTAACCCCGTGGTATCGGCAGTAGCGGGCGCCCGACTTTGAAGTTACTTGGTGTGCGACGCGAGTTAAATTGTTCATGCTGCCCTTCACTTTCATGATATGCATCGTTATATGGTTTTATATATATATATATATATCATTAAATAGGCTTAAGTATGTATTTTTCAAGGAAAATTGGTAAAAAAAGTGGAAACAAGGTGCTTATACTTTGATAGATTGACAATACCCTTCTTCCTTTTTTTCCTTTTCGTGTTACTCTTACCAACATCAAGCGTCTCGCTAGAGCCATAATTTTACATAAATTTATAAGAAAGGAAACTATGTTTTCGATTTATTTATTGTAAGATAACATTGTATGCCATGTTAGCAGTCTGTTCCATTCGAGATTACATCTCCCTGAAGAAAAAATTAATTAAAGTTCTTGTCCTTATTTTTCCCGATGGTTCAAAACCAGGTCATAGAATCCATTTAAGAAGGAAAACTTATTCACCATGATTCGTTTCATGCACATTTTGTCACATCCAACTGCGGATTGGAAGTTGCTCACCCTGATTTCACACAATTGCCCCCCTCCTCCACTCCATGGGAACTTGTCATACCCCTCTCCAGCCTCCTGAATTGGGAGATAGTACACCTGTCTGTTCCAATCACACAGCAAGTGTTCTGTCCTGATAGTACACAATTTCTAGGAATTTGTTTTTTAAATGTGTAGATTGCCATCTCTGTATTGTCAAGCATCAAATTGTCATCATATAAAGATACACGCACACGCACATACGCACACAAACAAAACGAAGAAGAAAACAAGCTGACTAAACGGCGTAATATATTTAATGAATTGTAAAGGCAAAAACTCGGGAAGAGGATGGGCAGTCCTTCAGAAAAAAGAAAACCCTTGAAAATAAGTACCGGGTTATCCCCTATTTTACCGTACAAAGATCAAATGTGGCGGCTTTTTCTTTTGACATGTCGATTTCGATTTGTTTTCAATTATTTTGTAGTTTGCGATGCGGCTATTTATCACATTCCTCTGACTCTTACAAAAGTTCTAAAGCAGGTTATGTAAATAAACAATGTTCAGATTCAAAGCAAAGTTGAATTTTCGGTTCATAATATAGATATCTGATCAAATTGATATTGCATGAGCAAAAGTTGGAACTCGGAATGAGAACTTAATATACACGATATGCTGAATTTTCGTTTCTGCGATATCGGAGGGAAAAAAATTGGGAGTCTTCAAGTTGTTTTGATTCTTGACCTCGATATACATTACCCTTTTTTCTGTGGCTCGCGATACTGCGTTCTAAGACCTTCCAGCACGTCCAGCCGTTTCGTTTCACTACTCTCTCACTTGAAAAGTCCATGGTTATATAAATAAGTGACCGGATGTTTAGACTGATGATTGGAATAGAAATACGTGTATGATTTTTTGTGGTAATCAAGTCCTTCAGGTTTGAAGCTCCTAATGTTAGCACGGCCAGTGGTCCACGTTCAGCCAGTGAGATTGAGGTCAAAGCACCGATCGGTATATTTCAATCATTTTAATATTTAACGTTATTTTTTTTTTTTTATTGTTATTTATCCATTTATTTATTCATTTGTTTATTCATTAAATTACGAATCCTTCTCTGTAGAAAGCGATACCAGAGAAATCCATCTGTAGTCGGGCTGCATGTTTTGAAAATTTTACTAAATAAATACTCTAAAACATAAAAGCTCGTAAAATGTTCTGATATCGTAAGTTGGGGGCGGGGGCTGAATATATTTTGAATTTTATCACCAGATATCTCAAGTATGTTGTAAAAAGAAATGCCATACAATGACTTGATGCATGTTTGGTCAACCCATATACATCCCCTCCCCCCCTCTCTCTCTCTCTCTTTAAAATATACGTCTCTTTTTTTTTAAATTTACCCTCATCGCCAGACAATTTCTGTAGGCTGGGGGTCACCTTGCTGCTAACTGTGGCTCCGTCTTTGTCCGAGCGTTCATGGCACCGCTATACCGCTGGGTTCCCGATCGATTTCAGACATCCAGTCCATATTGACAGTGTCATTAGCGGATTTAAAACATGTTATGCTCCCGAAATAATCATCACCCCTTTCCGCTTATCCAATATGAACCCGTTATACGCCTTTAGCTTTAATCCGCGAGATTGTTAATCCGCTTATAGCTGGATCATTACCGGGGTAAACTAACAACACGCTGGGTGTGAAATGTAGTCGGATGTGGTTAGAAAAACATGATTACTGTTCCATCTCCACTTGAATGTATGCCAAAATATGATACAACATAATCTTTTACTGAAAGTATACGATTTTTTTTCCATGACATGTTATTACATGAATGTTATTACCTGCCCGTTTTGAAATTAATTTTCATCTTGTATTTGTTATCAATTTATTTCGAGTTTTTAAAATAAAATTCACATAATAAGCAGTTTACGACTGGGTCTGCCTCATCGGCAATGCTTTGTTTCACACAGACAATTGTTAAAGTAATGTCAATTTGTTATTGCTTAGTATACAAATATTGTACTAGATTCATTAAGACAAATGTGTATATTCCTCAATATTATTCTTATGTAGGGAAAGTATATTATATGGGACATAAAGTGAAAGAAACCGAGAAAACGCATTGGCCTATATTCATCCTTGGTGCAATTATTCATGCATCAATTGAATACATTTTCCGTTAGGATTTTCAATTACTACCTCTTTTTTTATAGTTTATGAGAAGAATAAAAAAAAAAGTATTAAGGGAAAGTACATTGACTCATCTAATGATCAACATTTTCATTTCAACCAAGATTCTGAAGAAACCTTACATTCAGCTTTTTGTCGGGCAGACATAGATAAGATTTAAACCGATCAATTGATTATAAAACTGCCATGTAAATGGACGTAATTCCGTCTGAAAGGAGGACAATAAATGCCATCCTCGAATGCAGACAGTTAGAACTAGAAAAGTTTTTATTTCGAAGACCCAATACCCTCGTTTTGGGCGGAGATGTAGGCCGGACGATGAATGGTTATTGAGTGGTGGTCTTTGAGAGAGATAAGCGGACAGTGCCGTTGCAACAATGGGAATCATTAGCGACATCTGACAGCGAAAACGATGCTGCTTTTGTGACTTCTGTCGTACTGTTGATAGCGTTTTGTATAGGTGTTGGTTTAGGCTGTCGAATCGGCCTTCGTAATGTTTTCTTCGTTTCTGGTATTGTGCTATTCTTACGGGCGTTCTCCTTTCTTTCTCTGTGAAATGTTGCCGGGCGAAATAAGTAGGTCGACTTACGTTCCAAATGCCTGAAACTTATCTCATATTCCGAAACATGCTGTGAATCTGTGGTCTTCGTAGGAAATGTAGCAGTTGGCAAGAGCACAAGAAATAAATGGTTATTAATTTTCTTTTAGGTAAATGACTTCTGCTTATTTTGGTCCCCTTCTGAACTTGATTTTTGTCTAGAACAGTCATAATTTGTTCACCCTAAAAAGCAACTGAAGACAGTTATAATAATCAAGGATCTTAAAGATGCGAGCACTTAATCTTAAATTGATTTCCGTCCTAATGGATAGGAAG